TATATATATTAACCAAATAAACAAAAAACTGAAAATCACATTTAAATTAGATAACTTGATGCCTTATAATGAAGATAACTTATATGGTTGAATTATATACGCACAAGTAAAATTTTTCATATTCAAGTAAGAAGTTAAAAAATATTTTTATCGACCAGAACGACAAAATGAGAGAACAAATATATATATGTATATATATATATATATAACAATAAGTTAATTATCAATTATTATAAATTAATTTCATCATTAGAACTTCACATAAAAAAATTATATTTAGTTATGTGAAATTAAGGGAAAAAATAACTCATTTTAATAATTAATTATACTAAAAGAATTCCTTTAAAATTATCTAATAATGGTGCCCTCACTATTTTTGGGCCCTGGGCGGCTGCCCCGCTGGCCCTGTCCTAGGGCCGGCTTTGATGGTAGTGTGGTATGTTGGTGGGAGTTATTGACGTGTGATAAAGTGTAACGTGTTGTTTACTAAAGTGCAATGTGTTGTTTTGTAAGGTGCAATATACTGATATATAAAGTGCAATACTTATTCTATCACATATAAATTATGTGTTTTTTTGAAAACTATGTTTAATAGATATAATTGTAGGTTGAATTAAGTTAATTAATTAAAATTATTCACTAGTATAAATGTATATTTATTAATTTAACAATTCTTATATATAAAAAATAATAATTTGTAATATATTTTTATAAATTTCAGATTTAGCCCATGGGCTAAATTGAAATATAATCAAAATATCTTATTCTTCAATCAAGTCCTTGAATCTATTCTAAATTACAAAAATACGGCCACATAGAATTTGATGTCCTGACAGAGGAGTTGCAGTCCACTTCCATGTCCGGCAGCGCGGCTGGACCTGGTGGAGTTGCGGCGGTGTTGAGCCGATCTGTATTGAGGTTCTACAACATATCATCAAGTTGTTTTTTATTTTATTTTTAAATTTGCCATAAACGGCTCGAGGTTCGAGCTTGAAGCTCGGTTTTTCGGCGCAGTGGAGGGAAGTGTGAGGCCTGCTGTGGAGTTGGTGGATGAGCGGGAGGTGGGCGAGCAGGTGGCCATTGAAGAATGTGTCATTTGCAGGAATATCCATAGCCCCATTGTGCGGCATAGGCAGGGCCACGACGGAGTTTACCTGGACTTCGGTCATGTCGACTGGACATGACGGAGGTGCGCCGGCGCCTGAGCCTTCGGTCGGACAATTTCCGATAGAGTCGGGGATGGTGGTACCGAACTGTGAGTGTGTGTGTGAGTTGAGGGGCTCCGTGCATGTTTTGTGTGTGTTTGCAGTTCGTGCATAAGTGTGTGTGTGTGTGTGTATGTGTGTATATGTGTATGTGTGTGTGTGAGAGAGAGGGAGAGAGAGAGAGAGAGAGAGAGAGAGAGAGAGAGAGAGAGAGAGAGATGACAACTCGGATTGGTGGTGTGATGGGAGTGGGCACATGTCATTAATTTATTGGATGTGTGTGAATGAGGAATTGGTATGGGTCCCATAGTTGATAATAAAATGTCTAATATACCTTTAATGACCTTATAATTGTTGAATTTTTTATAACTGTTGGATCATCCGATCTAATGACAATAATTTGTTCTTATTTCTTTCACTAAACATCATTCTCATGTGAACCCAATCCTATATATATATATATATATATATATATATATATATATATATATAGAGAGAGAGAGAGAGAGAGAGAGAGAGAGAGAGAGGATTAAATGAGAAAGAAAGATAGTGAAAGAAATAAGAATGATTTTGGGACATTAGATCCAATATATCAATGGACATGATCAAGTCAACCTTGGTCAATCATTAATGGCATTATGATAATTTAACTTACACAATGTAATCAATTTACATATTTGTCCACTAGTTAAGGGTATTTGAGTTATTGTACCACAAAATCCAATCACAAGTGTACCCACCCCAACTACCCACCCTAATTATTATCTCCATCCACTCACGCACACAAACACACACTGTCACTACGCACACACCCTGCACAAACACACATACACTTTCCGGCAGCCACCTATCCACGCCACCTCAGCTGCCGGAATTCATCAGCGCCGCCAATCCACCGCCCTTTATTGGCCGAATCATGTTGTATCTACCTCTTCGACGGTGATGCTCGCTTCTTCTCCCGCGTCGAGTTGCAATCAATGCGTCGCCGCCGCCTCATGGCAGTCATCGCGACGCCTCCGTCTCGTTACAACGACCGCTCTCATTGTCGACCCCGCTCTTAGCTCTGGCAACGGGAGAAGGTCGCCACCTCCGGCGAACCTTTAGATCCGTTTATCACTGACCCTGCCTCGAGTTGCCGGTGTCGACATCGCCGTCCTTCCCGTCACACACACAAAATCGGCGATGCTCTGAGGATTAAACAACCGACTTTATTTTTCTGTTTTCCTTTTTTTTTCTTGTGATGAAGTCGTTGGGCTGCGACCGGTGGGATGTGGCGGCGTCGGGTGTTAGTACGAACAATTGCATCTTTTCTGGTATGCTTGGTAAAAAATAGTGGAACACATAGTTTTGTATAATATATAAATATGTTCTGTAGGTTAGGTAATTTCCCTTTTTTTTAATTATAAACTGGTGGACTTGGCCCGCCAAACCCACAGCCTGAGGAGAGGGAGGTTTGGCCTGCATTTCGAAGGAAGCAGGAATGGCGGGCCATCCCGCCCTACCCTGTCAATTGACAGGCCTTTGCCGTGCTACGGGCCAGCCCGCCCCGTCGACCCGTTTTGACATTCCTAAGGGCATGATTGTTTATAAAATATTTCATCTAAAATATTTCATTTTGGTTAACTATGGTTAAAGTTGAAAAAGTAGTGTGGTTAATTATTAGGGGGATTTAAAAAAATATATTAAAATAATATTTAAAATAAAATCATTAAAATTGATTTGATATAAAGTATGAGATAAGTAATTGGAAATGATTGGTAGTTAAAATTATGTGAGTGGATGAATAATGAATTAAAGTTGATGTGATGTGTAAGAATGATTGGTTTGTATTATTTAATTATATAAATAATATTAAAGATAGTGAGGTTGAGTTAAAGTTGAGTTAGATTTTGAGTTGAAAATATTTGAGGTAAAATCTATATATATATATATAATTACTAGCTAATATCATTTAATAAAACCTATTTAATTTTACCTATGTGGCAATTTAACTATTTTCCCTCCAAAAACCGTTACTTTTGATGAATTTAATCTTTCATTTAATTATTAATTAATCAACACTAATCACTTTAAAATTACAAAAATCATTTTAAACTTTTGATTACTGACAGTTGACCATATAATGTGTTGACCGTATACTGTGATGAGATGTTATTATTGTAATTACATTAAATTAATTTTTTTTAAAATAAAAAACGTATTTGAAATTCCTAAATAAATAATAACTAATTCACAAAAAAAAGATGTACCAAAATATACATTACATCCAATTAGAAAATGCAATTTTTTTTTTAAAAAAATATTCCAACTCCTTTAATTTTAAATTTGGCCAGCAAAAAGGTGAAAGAGAAATAATTAATCATTATATCCATACAAATAACTCACAATACTTTATTTACATTTGTGCAAGTGCACAGGGTCGGATACTAGTATTTTGTAAACAATCACTCCCTAAGTCTTGTAACGAGATATTCCATGGTGCAATAATTTCATGACATCATCGCATTAATAGGTAGATTACGAAAAGCGGATCATCGAAATATAGAATTACATTACGCATGTAATTAAGGTTTCGTAACTTTTGGGGAAGGAATGAGGTTTTAGAAACAACTTTTATAAATAAAAATATATTAAAATTGAAAAAAAAAAAAAAAAAGACCAGAGAATTTACTGTTGAAAACTGGAAGACTTCCATGTAAATGTTTCACACGCTAATAAGCACTTTTTCTCTTTATTTTACTTTCTCGATCTCTACAATTTCCGGTCAGGAAAATTAATCAAATCTGTCTTGCTTTTCATTCTCTTTTTCCTCTTCAGGGACTCGCATGATTACCAGATCATGTAATTTGTCGCGTTTATTGGTCACCAGAAATTGGTATTCAGTTTGGTAATGTAAGCTCCAAGTTTGCTTTGATTTGAGAGTGGGAGGTAACGGAAATATTTTAAATTTGAAGAATTGGGGTTTACTGGATGCTTTTGATCCGACGCTGTTGCTGTGTAAATGCTTTTGGGAGGGAATTTAGGATTTTGGTGCAGTGTGGTTGCGGTGGTTTTCGCGTGGCTCGTGGGCCGCTGGAAATGGCGTTGCGCGGCCGCACGGGGGGAGGAGATCAAGCGGCTCATGATGTTGGCCTCGGAAGAGACAGCTCGGGCTGAGCTTGAAGCAGTCTCGGGCTACAGAAGCTATGGTCCAGCCCTGGCGGCTGAGCCTGTGGTTGAGGGACCTGTTGCTGGGCCGAGCTCATCTCTGGGCGGCCGGAAATTGCAGTATCAATGCGAAGTTTGCTTTAGTCCAACCACAACGCGTTGCAAGAAGTGTAAATCTACTCATTACTGGTAATCTTGATTGATCACCCTTATCTCAGGAACTTTTATTGATCTTTAGCATTACAATTGCATGGTTTAAACTTAACTGGAAGGTTCTGATTGGGTACTTTGTCATTCATTGTGGAATATGCTTGTTTGTTTATGTAGTTGTATATATCTATCTATCTATATATATTAGCACTTTTGTAAAATTGTCATCTAGTATGTTGCTTCCTACCTCTGCTTGAGCTAATGTGATGGCTTACCACCGAAGTTATGGTAGTCCAAATTCTATTTTGTAGTAATAAGGGTTTTTTGGGTAAGAATGTGACAATATATGTACGAGACAGATTATAGTTAAAGTATATATCATGAAGTGGGATGGTTGATAGCTTTATAAGTGATGATTAGATTACCGGGTCTTTGAGGCACGTAGATGTAACCTGTTGACACGAACACGTGGCTTTTATAAAGCGCAAACTACAAGGAGGCTGATGAAGTGTAAACTTCTGCATACTTAATGAAGGCGTAATTTGTAGCTCGCGTTTAGTATGGTAAAGAAATCCATATGCAGTAGGATCATCAATTCCCAATTGCTGCAGGTTTTATCTTAGGTTAAAAGATAAATTAAGATTGTGGTACAGTGTTTTTGGATTGGGCAAGATTGTGTTGGTTTAATGATCTTGGTACTTTTGGGGAACCTCTTGCAATGTGTTTACACATTTATTGGTGGACAATGTAAGTGGTATCTGCCATCTTGATTCTCGAGTAAATAATGTATGAGGGCTCCGTAAAAAACCATATTAGCTGATCCGACCACCGTCGTGAATGCTTTAGCATGCTAAAGCAGAAAGCCTAAATTTAATTTATAAAAAATAAGTAGTGTTTTATATTTAAAGAAATAAATTTTTTAAAGAATTTTCGCTGTAAAGTTTAATTTTGACTGACTGTTCATAACTGTAATCTGATTTTGAAATCAATATTCAAGTTATGTTCAATGATTTATGGACAACAAAAAAAATCATCTTTTCATGATTGTAGAGCCCCATATGTATCTTAACTATATGTGACATTGTTATTTATTTGCAATAGATTTTGGGGCATAAAATATATTTCATTGCGTTACTAGGAGTGAAGCGTCTTTGATTGTGGAATTCCTATTTCAAAATATTACTTTTATGTTACATTCTTTTCAATGGGTCAAGCATAACTTGATTTCTTTAGAAACAAATTTTGCTCGTTTCTCCCCGTATTTTATAGTATGACATTGAAGTATGAAAGTATGCATATTTGTTGGAAGAGTATGGTTGCCTAATCATTAGGCAGCCTAACAGAAGACCAATTGCTGGTCAATAAATGCCAGATAAGTCATTTAGCATGTTCATTAATTGTTGAAATATTTAGAATTCCTGATGTCTGAAGTTGTATGGTTTCCATTTTTATCCTTTTACAGTATAGCAACATAACTTTGGATTTACAATTTTAATATGCCTTTTTCAATATTATCAACATATGCATCTCATAATGTTGCAGCTCTAGAAATTGCCAAATACTTCACTGGCGGAAAGGCCACAAGGACGAATGCCACTCGATCACCACTCGCCAGAACACTGTTTTAGATGCTCATCCTTGTGTTAAGGAATTTAAGCAAGACAAGATTGAAAACGGTCTAAATGGGACTCATGTATTGCATAGTACCAGACCACTTAAATCATCCTCTGAGAAATGTGAATTTTCAAATCCTACTCTATGCATACCTGGTGAGGGTAATGTTATTTTTGATTCCACAACTGAAGGTGCCTGTGACAAAACTGAAAATAATGTAAAATCATCCATTCACCTTTGTGATGAAAGCCTTTCTTTCACTGTCTCGACTGACTTACCTGCTGCCTCATATATTAATTCAAAGGGTGGTTATAAATATCAAGCAGGGACAAAAAAGCTATTGTCCGAACAACCTAGTTCACTCAATCCTGAACATACCGCAGATGCTTCCATTGTCTCAAATCAGGTTAAGTCTGGTTGTATCGAAAGAGATGTAAAGTCAGAATCTTCAAGTTCGTTGGGCTGCAGTGCCTTCGATTCCGAGGAACATCTTTCCGAACCTTCTACACTCTCTGATTTCTGGGCTGGAGCAATCGAGAGGAGAAAACCTAACATCAATGCAGTTGAGTTTGATGATGTTAAAAAGTTAAGTTCCCGACTCCCATTTCCACCATCTTCAACTAATTTTCATGCCAAAAATTTGGGTTCTGGTATGAAAGGAGTCCAGGGAGTTGGTCCTCATCCAAATAAGACCCTCGGGAAGTCAGACACATTATCAGAAGTGAATGAAAATGGTTTGAAGTTCAAAGAATCACTGGCTTCGAGTGGCAACGTGTCTGGCCAAAATGACATTACCTATAGTTCAAAAGAAGAATCTATACCGTCCCCTTCTAATGCTAAGGGCTTATCTAAGGAGAGGTGTATACCAAGTAAAAACATCAACAGTATCCACAACTTGCTGTCTGTGGGACCAAAGGTGGTGGGCCTTGAAGCTGGCGGAGCAAACTATTCGAGTCCTGTGAAAAGTCAACATAATGATTTTATGAGATGTAAATCTTCTGAAACTCATTTGCCTTCTGGTGACGTTACCAAGAAGTCCGCTACTATTACAGATGCACAATCAATGGAAAATGTGCACACTCGTGAAGATGATTCTTGCCCTTTGGATAGAGGTGATTATGTACGTGTTGTGGCAAGTGGAACTAAACATTCATCGTCAAGAAGAGTTGTGGATGAGCTCAGGCATTCTAATTTTGGCAGGATTGGCTCTTTAGGTGCTGGGGGTGGGATTTTTGGGAGATATGAGGTGGGCGTGAAGGTTCCTTTTGTTGTGCATACTCACTTCTCGTGTATTGTAGTATATAAAAGCCAACTAACCGGGATTTAGATTATTTTACAGGGCTTGTTTCCATACGATCTTTTTGTAAAGCTTTACCATTGGAGCGAGGTTGGGTTACGCCCATGTGGACTCAAAAATTGTGGGAACAGGTAGAAATATACAAGGATGTTCCTTTTGTTATGGAATTTTGATTGTGGACATAATTCCGTACTATATATTTAGTTAACTGCATTTCAAGTTATGGGCCTCGCAACTCAACTTAAGGGATAGTTATGAAATCCTTATCTTTCTCTCGATGTTGCTACTCAAATTATTTAGTTTAACGTGCCCCATTCTCGTAAAGTTTTTTTCAAATTTAGAAAGTACTCCCTTGTTCTGCATAGGATACGCTTGTTTTCCTGTTTTAAATTATTTGAATTTAGGTTTCTTTCCTTTCAGAGAACATTAACTGCAGCAATAAACTAAAATGTCCCCATCTAATTCAAGTTGTATTCATTCAGGTCATGTTGTTAGAACCATAACAATTGAATTGAAGTAAACATTAATAAAGAAAAAACTTTATAATAGCAGGTAGATTTATTAGGTTTCTTTTTTCAATTTGTGAAGTTTTAGCGACCGACCTAACTTAGATGGATGGAGTATTGTATAAAAAATTTCCCCTTTGAGTTTCTGTATCATTAAATGACAAACCAAGCTAAAACACTATGTATTTGAACTAGTACAGTGAAGCATAAACCATTAAGCTGAGCCACATTAAAATAATTTGTTCCAAACACTAAGAGCCTCAAAAGTTGTGATGCAAATTTTTAATGATATCACTTACTAGGACTGTTATAAAATTTATCCTACTAAAAATGCCAAACTTCTCTGTCTGAAAGACGCCTTAACTGGAACAACTCAGTGTCTCATTTTTTCTTTTCTTCTCTGGATCCTGTAATGACTTATTCAGCCTTTCATACATCGTTCAAGTATGTCACAATCCACTAAAATTTACTTGTCCCAAAATTTGCTGCAGCTGTTATGCCAATGCTGTTCTCCAGTGTTTGGCATTGACTCCGCCACTCACAGCCTATTTTCTCCAAGGACTTCATGGCGTAACTTGTAAGCCACTCTGTGCTGTGCCTATTTACTCGATTAATTGTTATTCTTCTGGAGTTCTATATCGTTTGAGTTTTTACACTTATCCCACTTTGTTTTCCTGAAAACATTAGGTCATAATAAGGAATGGTGCTTCAGCTGTGAGTTGGAGGCATTAGTTAAGAAGGCCAAGGAAGGCAATTATCCTTTGTCACCTGCCCGCTTGATGTCCCAAATGCATCATGGTAGGGAGGAAGATGCTCACGAGTTTCTGAGGTGAGTTATGCATTTTGCGTGACTGAATGCATGTGATGAAGCTGTGCGGATATAAGTTTGTCATCTGGAATCATATTAAAATTTACAGATACGCAATCGATGTCATGCAAATTGTTTGCTTAAAGGATGCTGGCATTAATGCCCCGGCCCCTTTAGATGAGGACACCACCTTATTGGGGTTAACGTTTGGGGGCTACCTCCAGTCAAAGGTTATTTTCTGGAGATTTATTTGACGTCTTGGAGATCTGAAACTTTTTCGTCTGTGAATATTGTCATCATCAGTATTCTTAAAATTGCAATTTTTGAATTCAACAAATGTAGATAGAATGCATGAGGTGCGGGGCCAAATCCAAGCAGCACGAGAGAATGATGGACCTCACACTTGAGATAGGAGGAGAGATAGGATCTCTAGAAGATGCACTGCGTCAGTTCACTCGTTCGGAGATTCTAGATGGTGAAAACAAGTACCATTGTGGCAGGTTTATTTGATGTGCTCTTTTTGAATGCTTTTGGTTGAATCAGTTTAGTAATCCCATGGTTGTGTGCAAGCTAAATCGTAATAAAACTGCTGCGTGTCTCGAAATGTGATATGTTTCGTCTACTCATTTTCAGAAAAGGATGTTAATTATTTGTGTTGTATGTACCTACTGATACAATGTGATCATCTCAGCTTCACTCTTAGCTGGAGTGTTTGTTGCTAGTTGTCTTCCATTTTTCATATAAAAAAACTAACTCAATCATCAATTGGTGTTGACTTTGATTTTATTAATAATAATAAAAAAAAAAAAAAAACCTAACTCAATTACCTTTCGTACTCATAAATACTGCTACAGTATTACAAGCGCCAGTTAGGTTTCCCCTTTTCTCGACAGCCTGCCTTGGACTCAGCTATTTTTAAACTACAAAAAATCATGAAGGTGATGTTTGTAATACTGTAAAATAGTTGGGTTTCCTGTAATCACCGTTAAGTAAAGAACAGAGCGGATCATTATCTAGACAAGGGTATGCAATGTCAAACCTCATAGCAAACCAGAAAACCCCTAGCAAGTCATTAAAGGTAATATTATATATTTAACTGAGATCGAGGATCTGAAACTGAGCTCATTAAGTCACTTTGACAGATGCAAGTCGTATGAGAAGGCGAAAAAGAGGCTGAGAGTAACGGAGGCGCCTAATGTCCTCACCATTGCTCTTAAGAGATTTCAGGTAACACGTTTTATATACCCCATGTATTCCACATATGTATCTAAT